AAGTCTCATCATACAAATACCGAGAGGAAGAAACACCTGAAAACCTTCAGGATAATACCCTGATTATAACAATAATTCCAACACATCAATAAAAGCTTCTAAAATGAGTTCTGGTAATAGTATGGTCTTCCTGTCTGCCACAAAATCCTACCACCTTGGTAATCCCTATTCTTCAACAAAACATCTACTTGTATTAACCAATACACAGGGGGCAGGTGGCGCAGACCACGGACACAGCACAGGACTGAACACAGACCGTCCACCAGAGCTCGTAAGATACCCCACAGTGAAACAGCCTTTGCAGTTAAACACCAGCAGTTTTTCCACCACTACTCAATTCTACAGGTCAAGTGACTAACACTGGCAACCTAAAGTCACCATATGTGACCGAACGGTTAACACAGCATTTGTCACGCTTGGTATTTTTTCAATATCTAAAATGTAATTTGTTATAAAACAATGCTGAATTTCTTGAATACATAGTAAAGGAAGGGCGATCTGGCAAGCAAAAACAAACCCACAGTAGCAAAAGAGTAAGCCTAACCGAGATTTACATCAGGGTATTTCAAAGATGACTGAAAGAAAATATACACACTTAGTACCTTTTCAGAAAAATACTGTAATGCTTTAAAGAACCATCTTGGTTTACTTCGTATTTTACAAAATGTGATCAAACTGGGACATGAAAACATGTTGAAAAACCCCACCGAATTTGCATAAGCTTACCTACAAGGATACTGTTGATATACACCGGTTGAATGAAGTGACTCAGCAATGCTCCCTGGATACCAACCACCTCCCATTTTGTTAATTTGTCACTAGGGGACATGCAGCTTACTCTAAGAGTTTCAGGCGGACAACAAACAGTGAGGAAAATCTTGCCTTCTATAGCAACATGGAGACTCAGTGCTTCATTACTTTCGTAAGCAGATATAGTTTTTGGACCAAGATGTCTAAAGAAAGAAAGAAAACAAATTTCGGTGAGAAAATATTCTAATTGGGGATTACTGTAAAGTGGTATCTAATACTGTTTCTCAGAAAACAATTATTGACAGATCCGGGCCTTACGTGATGTTCAATATTTGTACATTTTAGAAACACCACATTCAGCTCTTCAAGTGACTAGAATACTGAAATCAGTATTTAAATAAGAAATAGTAATTCAACAAAATCTTAGCCATCAGTTGTGCAAACATTAAGAAAGGTCAGCATACGCCACAAACAAGCTATCTCTTTGGGTCTCCTCACAATATGACAAGAGTTACCTGGAGGCTGTTTATCTTGTGGAAAAACCAGCTGTAAGGTTATGAAGCTCCTTTGCAACATAACTTACACTGCAAGTCTTAAAAATATTTAAAACAAGCAGATGCAACACATTAGGGAGACAAAACAGTGATCGTTCTGAAGTAAAACAGTTTTCCCCTTTAACTAAAGTGGGATAAGAATTCAAAGACTGAAGTTTTGAGCTAACTCTCCCCAATTTTATCATAACTGACAATGTTATCATGATCAAAGGTGCTTTTGCTTTACATTATAAAGCAACCATTTAATTCTGGCTTAAGTAACATACTACTGCCTGTTAATAAGTGGCCATGTTTTGCTACTCAATGGATCACTTGCAAGTAGCTCCCTTCTAAAAACTATCTTTAAATAACTCTACACATAAGAAAACCTGCTGTATTAGAAGAAAATAGTTCCCAGAGTTTTTCTCAAGAGAGCACACACCAGCACAGACAAAAAGCAAGGGAAAAAGTGCTGAACCTGGGATCTGTCAGCTATTACAGCGCAGCTTACAAACTGCATCCACACTCATCAACCCTTTTGCTGCAAGCGGAGGCCATGACACTGAAAGTAATCTAAAAACCCTCTAAAGCAGGATGGGCTCCCCCAGTCAGTACCGCTTGCAAGGAACTGGCTGGGACTTCCAGTTCACACGTCTGCCTTCCAAACGCCCCAAACACAGAGTGAAAGCAGTCAGCTGCCCTGTGTGTGTGAGGAAGTTATGGCCATACCACTTTCAGTGACATTATTCCACTGCACGGGACACAAAATATCATCGTTCAGAACAACTTGGTAAACCACTGACTGCTGCCGTTAAATGTCAAAACTATCAAAAAAAGAAACTTGCAGAAATTTCACAGAAGTTAGAAGTGTAAAGGTAAGTTTGTGAGTGTAGTTTCTCATCAGGTTACTCTCACCACCTTTTTTCTACAGAGCAGAGCAGGAGCCTATTGTTTGCACTCAAAGAGTTTTTATACGCTAGTCCTGCGGTGCAAAGGATGACATTAAGGCACCACATCCACTTGCTCAGTGGTTAATGACTTACTAGTACGTTATTAGCACCTTGGGAGGGAGGTTAACAGGTAAGCGGGTATCTGTCCTAAACAAAGCATCGCCCTGAATCTATATAACCCACGTAAAAGTTTCTTGTATCACGACGTTGAGCTGCATCTCATACACTTATCACTACCACCCTGTACGTTAATGCTTCCAAAACATGAAGACAACTCAGAACAGCCCCCCACCCCGTCTCAGGAACGTGTAACAACGCGTATTTCCCAAACTCACACTGTGTTTGTCACTGCAAACAAAGTAATCTTCCACTACAACATCTCTGAGAATGAAGGTACTTACAGCTGCGATTCTAACTGAGCAGTTCCTTTTGGAAGCTGATTCATGTAGAGAAAGACAGCTGTATTCTGCTTCAGGGTAAGCAGCTTTGAGCCTGTTGCTCTGCCAAATATGGATTTCTCTGTCTTCGCTGGATCTTCATTATAGAACAGCAAAAGATGTCTATAAAAATATCTAAAAGAAAGCGTTAAGGAACAGTAAATGTGAAAACCACTACTTTGTTTACAAATACAAGGGCATTCATATTTAATTCACGTGCTTTGAAAATAATCCAGAAGGTACTAACTATAAAATGCAAGTGCACTTACATTTACGTTTGCAAAAGCAAAACTGAGAAGAACTGGCCGCAAGAGCACGGGTAATTATTGGCACACACATTCTCACCTCAGGAGAGAGCGCCTTGCAGTAACGATGGCGTGGCTGTCATGCAGCACTCTTCCACCAGGTTTAAAGTGCTGACTGTAATTACATTGTCCTGTTCCTACAGCTACAACTTCATGCTCTCCATCTAAAAAGAAAGATTTATTTTTACATGATTGTGGCAGGTTAACCTCGTCTGGCTGCCAGGTGCCCACCAAGCTGCTCTCTCACACCCCCTTCTCCCCCAGCAGGTTGGACTGGATGATCTTAAAGGTCTTTTCCAACCTAAATGATTCAATGAAACAGTAAAACGAAAAAGCTCATAGGTCAAGATAAGGACGGGGAGATCGCTCGCCATTTACCACCATGTGCAAAACAGACTCGACTTGGGGAAGATTAATTTATTGCCAATTAGAGTACAAACAAAACCGAAACACCTTCTTCCCCCTATCCCCTTCCTCCCAGGCTCAACTTCACCCCTGACTCTTCTACTTCCTCTTCTCCCCACCTGAGTGATGCAGGGGGATGGGGAAGCATCAGTTCCTAACGCTGTCTCTGCTGCTGCTTCCTCCTCACGCTCCTTCCCCACTCCAACGTGAGGTCCCTCCCACAGGATACAGCCCTTTACAAATCACCCCCCGGTGGGTCCTTTCCACAGACTGCAGTCCTCCAGGAGCAGTCTGCTCCAGCACAGGTCACCGGTCCTGCTAGAAAACCCGCTCCAGTGTGGGCTCCTCTCTACAGACCACAGCCTCTGCCAGAAGCCTGCATCTGTGGGGGTTCTCCACGGGCTGCAGCTTCCTTCAGAGCATATCCACCTGCTCTGGTCCATACTGGTCTACACAGCCCTTCACCCCATTGAGACAGCACAAGGAAATGCTCTGGTCCATACTGGTCTACACAGCCCTTCTCCTCGTTGAGACAGCACAAGGAAATGCTTATGTAGGTCTTGAGTATTTGCACGACTGTAGCACAGTTATGCACATGACACAGCCATCAGAACAGAGCGTGCCAAAGGAGGAGAGCTACCCCTCTGCTTACCAGGTCAGAACTGCGTTCATCAAGGCTCTCTGGGAACACCAACAGCCCAGGTTTTCCACTCCCCAACACTCACCATCAAAACAGACTTGCCTTTCTCAATGATGAAAGCAGCCAGGGAACTGCCACAACTTTGGTACTCGGGATGTTTGGTAGTCAGGCTGTTAAATACTTCTTCAACCGACTGTGAAAGTTTTTGATATAGAAGCTGACCTCCTCCTAAAACAAAACAATAAAAGCCAGCAAGACGCAAATTGGAGGGGGTGGGGAACGGGACAGACAACAGATATGATCAACCATCTTTCAAACTGTAACTCTAAATACACAGTAAATGCACTATCACCACATATTTTTGGGATTCTGAAGATCATCAGGATGGACATGCATAAATAACAGATAAAAATAACAGAACATTTTATGCTTTTATTGTTCGTGGTAATAAATCCGGGATATGGATCAAGTTTGATCACCTACTGCACCAGGTATTTCAAGGACAGAAATACTGTTTCTATTTCTAACACCAATTCACCACTTAAATTCAAGCCATTTACTGCAGTTGTGTCCACTTCTAGAACCAACGGTCGATCTCCCACTTTAGTGACACTAACTCCTATAGAATTCTTCAAAAAGACAATGTTTAAAATAATAGTAACTCCATAGAGATCACTAAATGTATTAAAAGAATATTTTTTTTAAAAAAGGGGGGGGCGCAGGGAGCAAGCATTTACTGGGTAATTTGAATCAATAGAGAAAACCAAGACTATTCTTTACCAAAACAGATCCTTGAAACAAGAACAGAGTTTGCTGGAGTCTGGGGCTCATCAGGAACACAGGAAGAATCTAAGAATTTAACAACATTTCGAACTGGGATGGACATTCCAAATCTCCAAACATGGATCTCACACTGTTTCCAGAAAATGAAAGCTTCTAATTCTCTAAGAATTCTCTTTTCTGATTTTGAATTCCTTGTAAGCATAGAACTATTTAGGCAGCACCCCTTCCAAGAAGATAAACGTTACAGTAGCCAAATTCTTTTGAAAGTAGTAACTCTTTCAAAAGTTAAAAACTCAAAGTAGTGGTGAAGCCCTTTAATCATAAAAATTCAAAATCACTTAGGATCAACTTCATATTGCTGTTACCTAGTGAGTAGCAAGTCATGTGTAACAGCAACAAGTAAATTAATTCCTTCAGCATTCTCTGCTCTGTGCTACAAACTGATGCAACTCCTAACACACAAAGGAAAAAACCAGTTTCAGAACAAACAGATCCGCCCGAAGGATTCAAGAAAACTGACAGAGGCCCCGATATAAAAGAATTTAATAAAACTACACCGAGATGCTGCACAGGAAACCTTCGAGCCAAGCTCTTCAAGTTCCAATCAGGCATTGCTGGAATACTCACCTGACTTCTCAGGAGCCTTTGCCCCTGTGCACTCCAAGTTCAGCAGCTCTTCAAGGGCCAGTTTAGCTGCATTTAATCTAGATTCCTTCTTGGTTCTTCCCAGTCCAGTCTTGTAGCGAACACCGTCTACCACAGCACAAAAGGCAAAATAAAGGCTTATACTACCACCTTTAAAGGAGAAAAAAGCAGACACAATTAGTGAAATTACTTTAACGTACTTTTATCTGTAGCTTCACGTGCTCATATTCATTCCAAAGACAAGTACAAGACAAAAAGACAAGTTTAGCAAAATACAACTCAAACCTTTCAGCTCCACAAGAATTCTGGCGGCTCTCATTTTATGCACTTTTCACAAAGTTCCGGGAGCAGCCAGAATCGTACACAATTCCTCTGACCAAATTCTGTAGCAATTAATTATGAGACACAGTGTGGACAATAACAGGGCAGCCAAAAAGCAACATAGGTGAAGGTCAGTGCAATCAGCAGTAAAAAATTCATCTGTATTAGTGCCATCGATACTAACCACAGAAATTCACACCACCTCAAGCATAAGGAAATACTATTTTATTTAAGAAAAGAATAAGTATTTACCTGCCACATTAGTTTCTTTCAATTCAAGTTGTACACGGCGCATTTGTGCAAACTGATGCAAGGCAGATACTGCATTTATTACTCCTCGTTTGTATCTTGCAAAACACTCCTCTATGCCTTTCTTTAGAAGAGGCGCTGATAATGGGGGTGCATGGGCTCCTTTCAAAAGAAGAGGTTATGAAACAAAGTTAAGAACTGAACACACTCTCTGGCAGTTTAAAGGCGTTTACAATTAATGCTTTTTGGATGATTCTTAGAAGAACAGAAAGCAAAACAATTTACTCTAGAGCAGTATTGCTTTGTACTGAATCCTAGATTAATACAGGCAATTCTGAACCAGTATGTACCTCCTCTTTCAAGTGCATCAAAGCTTCTACTTGGAGTACTAAATCCATTAACCTCTGAATATAAACAGATAGTACATGTAAATACAACACATAATCCCCCTCCCCTCCCTCGCAAACCAGTGATCAAATGAAAGCTGCTGATGGCAGATTCAACACGATGGAGCCGGTGGTTTTTCACACAGAACTACAAAGCCTGGTCATAAGACACGACACAAGTTTTAGCAACCACACACGTCATTCAAAAAGCAGGTAACTCATCCAAAGACAAAGAAAACCACCCATAAAGTGCTCCTGAATACACAGACCCCATCTCTGGCTGAGGTGGCCAGGACAAAACACAGGGAGAGTTGCAGTGCACACCCACCCTGACCCTGCAAGTCCCCCCCATGCCCACAATTAACCACACTTGGAACCAGGACAGCAGGTGGGTGGATATTTTATCTGTGCTAGCACAGAGCCCCGATGCTCTTCAGAGAGGAATGTGAAGCAAGTTAGGCAAGTCGTAAGAGACTTCTATAAATTCTGAGTAGTCCTGAGGCAAACCCGCACTTTGGAGATTTGTTCAAAAAGACAAACTCTTCCAAGGATCACGCTGTACCTAGGCGGTTGTCTTTGACTTGGAGGTCTCTGATAGCATAACCAAGTAACACTTCCTGCAGCATCTACTTACGTGAAGGATTGGTGTGTTCTTTTAGATTTAAGAGAAAACAATGAATTTTTTTTCCTTGTATCAACTCTAGTGTGGATGAAATCTTCAGCTTCAGGGTTGCCATATGCTCTAAGTATCTCCCAGAGAAGAACTACAATGAACTGTTATATCCAAGTCTCATAAATAGCTGCCTTCACCTCAATACAACTACCCCAGAGACAGAATTCAAAATACATCCCAGGTCATGCTGCATCCAAGTGCAGTTAAAACTCTTCTAAATGATGTCTATGAAAATTCATGCAGCAGTACATATCCTGTATTTTGGAAACCTCTACAGCACTTTTAAAGTATAACTTGGAATTTAGAATTATGAAATGCTGCAGACTGCAGAGCCCACCCTACAATAAATTTCTTACTTTAACAAACTTCCAGTATGAAAACGCATAGGAAGAAGAGGAACGAGGTCAAGCAGATGCTTGAATTTAAGGAAATTACAGTGGTAAGACAGATCAGCAGAGGGTTGCAACTTTTCAAAAAAGAGAAAATCATAAAGTTACATTAACAGTGTATTTTAATGGCTAATCCCAGTGAATAAACCAAAAACCATACCTGGATATTGTGTCACTTTGGGTCCACTGCCCCTCTCAGGCAGCGGCAGTTTCGGCCTTACAGCCACAGACTGAGAAAGTTTCCCTAACGCTGGCTGCCCAGGAGCCCCAGCTGGCCGAGTCCTCCTTGGTGGGGGGTCACAGGGGGGTATCCCAGCATTCTGAAAACAGCCGCTACTCATTTTGTTCAAACTACGTAAGCGTAACAGTAAAGTTACGAGATGTTAAAGGCACGCTGCGAACTCCAGTTTTCTCAGTTAAGCCGTTCTGCCAAGAGCGCACCGCGAACCACTCGCCCCCCCTTCCTTACAGACCGGGGCAAAAGCGCCGAGACCCAGCGCCCTCCCAACTCCCTCCCCTTTCCCAGGCGGCACCCCGAAGATCGGAGCCGCCGTCACTTCACCACGCTGTGCAGCGAGGCCTCATGGCTTCGCACCTCCGCTTGTCACCGGCTCGAAGGACACGGCAGCCCCTCAGCCGGCTTTCGAGGGAGCGAGGTAACAACTAAAGCAGCAAAGCCGATCCCTGTGGAGCTCCCACTTCGAGCTAGCGGTGCAGGGAAAGGCTCCGGTACCTGCCCTCCTCCTGTGCTCCGAGGAAACCCGCC